CCCGCACGCATGCCCACCCACCTGTGTTTCTGTTTGTGGCTCCCTGGATGGCAGAGCGGACAGCAGCAGCCAGGTAAGACATCCCCCAAAAATAAGACCTAGTGTCTTTTTTCGTGAAAAAAAATAAAATAAGACACTGTCTTATTTTCGGGGAAACACGGTATAATGTATCTCTGTGTCAAGGCAGCCAGCTTGCTGGTTGCAGAGTTTTACTTTCTCATGTAAGAACTGCTCCCATGATGACTGGTGGAGTAATGAACAAGAAGCAGCAGGGTAGGTTGAGGAAGCACAAATCAACAGAATGAATGAAGCAGAAGCAGGGAGATTGGCAACAAGAGCAGCGAGATGCACATTATTATTATACAGGATTTATATAGCGCCACCAGTTTGCACAGCACTTTACAATATAAGGAAGACATTACAATTACAATACAATTCAAGACAAGATGGTAAGGAGGGCCCTGCCCCTGAGGGCTTACAATCTAAAAGGGAGGGGCAAGTGATACATGAGCAGGTAGCTCCGTGGGGATGAATTGTTTGAAAACTTGATGGTTCTCAGTAGTGACATCTCACTCTCATCTCAAATCTCTCACACATTTCAAATCTCATGAGACTAGCAGTCACAGAACCCTGTGCCTTAGAAGATTTCACACTGCATATATACAGCTATGAGGCTCAAGGTAAAGACATTTCTAGTCAAAGGGAGTGCACTGCTATTTCTCAGAAGGAATTTAAGACAATAGGTACATTTGTAAGGTTATGACACAATTAACACTTCTAGATCGTCTCTATCAAATCACATTTGTTTTTAGTTGAGGCCCACCTTTATTTTTTTTAGTTATTAATAAATTTAGAATAATTAGCAATAAAAACTTGTTTACATATTCCTACCACTTTTTACTCACTTTGAAGGAATAATTTATATTCTAAAGGAGACTAAGTAAATAGCAGCAAATACCTTGGCATTTCCATTTCAGTATGCTGGGAACCTCCATATGTGGGCATTCTAATATGAAAATGTCTTTGTTTGCTGGGAAATTCTATGATCTGTTTACACCTTCCATCCCCATTTACACCCTGTTGGACCATCTTGGAAAAAGTTGAAATTTACATATGGTGCTCTCTCTTACTCTCACTATGGCACACGCTCCCCTCCTGCACATACTGCCTGCTGTCATACTCTCCATACTTCTCTCCTGTACATATTGACCTGCACATACTGCCATCATACCTCCCCATGCCTCACCTGCTGTTATACTCGCCACTCTCCTTTCCTGCCCATACCACTGATGAAGTATGCTCCACACTCCTCCCCTATTACCCCTGCCATACCCTTCACTCTCCTTTGCCACACCTACTTCTTGGTGTTATAAACTCTGCATTCATCTCATGCACATAGTGCTCATTGTCATACCCTCCAACCTGCTCTGCTGCACATAGTACCCACTGTCATATTCTCCAACCTGCTCTGCTGCACATAGTACCCACAGTCTTCACCCCCCCCCCCCCATCTTCTTCGGCAAATACTTCCACTGTCATACCCTCCACACTCCTCTCCTGCCCATACTTCTTGCTGTTATACTCTCCGCACTCCTGTTCTGCACATACAGTACTGCTCCATTCAATATCCTCTGTACCCCTGTCCTGCACATACTGCCACTGTTATACCCTCCATGTTTCCTCTCCTGCACATACTTCCTGCTGTTATACCCTCCACACTGCTCTCCTGCAAATACTACTCCTTTTCATACCCTCTATACCTCTGTCCTGTACATACTGCCACTGTCACACCCTCCATAGCCTTGAGCTTGTTTACTGCCATAGCCTCGAGCTTATTTACACTAATTTACTTCTTCGCAATGGTACTTGCTATGGCAGTAAAAGGTTTAAAACATATGAATAACCCTAACTGGATATGAATTTGTTAGAGCAGCGTGTATCATGAATATTTGAACTGTTGTGAAGAATGTCACCAGCACACAGATAGGCTGGTGACATTCTTCACAACAGTTCATGTATACAGCGGTGCCATCTGCAGTCATTGCAAGCACCCTCCCCTGCTATTGGGATATCCGGTAAGGAGTGCAACAAGATCTTATCATAAATATTTGCTTTTTTTTTATTTTAGAAAATACTATTTTTACATCTCAGCACTGCTGATTTCCTGCAACCTTTTCGCAGTCGCACTCATGCTCTTCAGCAGATGCTGTATGGCATTGTTCAGGCTCAAGCATTGCTCAGGCTGGACTTCCTGAAGGCATCAACAGAGAGTTATCTATGAGCGGGTGTCAGTACAGCCCCGTTAAGTCTCCAATGGAAGCGCATGTGACAACACAGGGGAGGAATTGGGAGTCAAGGACAGTTCATTGTCATCCTATAACAAGAAGTGCCAGAATAAGGAACTTCATCACAGGATCACCTGGTATTATTGTAATGAAAACGGCAGATTTAAAAAGGCAGATTAAGATTATATTAACATGCTACGGAGTATATGTGAATTAGTGATTAGGCTTAGGTCGCTTGACATGTTTGGTGTCTATTTACCCGACGTGACCCCATCTTTTATATTTTACCAAAAAAGTGGGTAATATTAGTTGTTTTATAGCATAATGTAAAAAAAAACTTTTTTTGCTCAAAATTTTCAGTAATTTCTCCTGAATATAGTAAAAAATAAAACCCGCAGTGGTGATTAAATACCACCAAAAGAAAGCTCTATCTGTCCCCAAAAAATGGTATAAAATTCATTTCAGTACAGCGTTGCGTGACGGAATAAATGTCAGTCAAAGTACCGCAGCGCTGAACACTGAAAAATGGCCTGGCCAGGTAGGGGATCTAAACACCTGGTCTTCAAGCAGTTAATGTACACAATGTAAACAATGTGTACTAATATTTTTTTTTTTTAAAACACGTTTCTATACTAGGTTGCAATTATGTATGTACATGAGGACATCCATAATTTCTCATTGCAAATGCAAGTTCTGCGTCTTGCTTAGTCATCCGATACAGTGCTGTAAGTTGCTGTTCCTCGTATCTTACTTTATGCCTGCCTGACTGAAAACCATAGACTCTCTGCAATGTTGCGTTGTGACTACAGCAAAGCTTTACAGCAATATTGTATTCTTAGACAGTCTTAGAATATTGTATTATTAGGCAAAATAGCTCTACAGTATGATTAAGCCCAGGTGGTGAAACACGTGAGAGGCCTTGGCGTGGTACAGATGTTCATGGTGATGTACATGCCATTTATCATTCTTTTGGATTTGCTGTTTTTCTGGAATCTGCTTGGATATATTTAATGCATTTTGGATTACATTTACCCTGGTATCTGTGCGGCTGATCTTTTGGAGATTGGTTTGAGTAAGTGAGGAGCGCACTGCACCCAGGGTATGGAAAATTGCAACCAAAGCTGGAATGGAGCGGTGGGTCTATGGTCTTCTCGAAGGGAAAATTACAATCCTCCCTTCGAGAAAAAATGTATCAAAACAAGTGCATTTATTACATTTTTGCATTAAATCCTGCAGAACATTGCAACCACCATCAGTTGCAATGCACAGGCTCCTGCGAACTCTTCCCCATGCTCAGGTCTGTATGGAGGTAGGAGCCTTCAGTTATGCAGTCGGAGAAAGGGCAGCTGGACTACAAATGGGTGTAACGTCACTCTGCTTCTGCACCCAGCAGTCCTCCTATAGCCTAGATGAATAGCTTTAATTCTTCCCTTAGAACATACTCACGGAAAATTGACAACCACATCTAGAAACCTCATCTCATTGCCCTGTACACAAAAAAAATGAAATCAAGGTCTAGAAGCTTTAAAAAAAAAGTGTCCTGCACATGCTAAAACAATTTCCATCTAAAAGCCCCATCCCACCTCAATGACTGACTGCACCCTGCACAGATAAATAGGCTGTCGCTCTCATGTCATGTAAACATAGTTCTCATTAGCTTTCTCCAGTATTTTTTCACTTTGACATCACTTGATGGAAGGAGTGGAGGCAGAGAGGGAGAAAGCCATGCAGAAGAAGGAGGAAGGATCTCTGGTGCACTCTGCAGAGTCCCCCTTTTGTGTAGTCATCAAATCTTAGCGATCCTGGGCATTGATGATGAATAGATTGTAAGCTCTCACAGGCAGGGCCCTCCTTACCATCTTGTCTTGACTTGTATTGTAACTGTAATGTCTTCCTTATATTGTAAAGCGCTGTGCAAACTGTTGGCGCTATATAAATCCTGCATAATAATATTAATAATATCATGTGCAGGCTGAGTCACACAGAGCCGCATTGAATTAAAAAAAACAGAATTAAGGGACAAGAAGCACCCTGCAATTCTGCCAAAGGGGAATGGCATTTTGTTTTGGGGAGACTGTATGCTACCATGCTTCATGTTCCATATTAAATATGGATGTAATATGAAACATGGTCCAAAAGGTGGACTGTAGCTTTAAATATGCAACCGTGTGCAAGGGAAATAAATAAAAACAGGATTTTTGCTTGCACATGGACTAATGGATGGATTGATTGCACATTATTCTGGACACTGCAGACAATGTATTGTAATAAAAAAGTGAAGTACAGCATTTCAAGGTGCTCTTTTGGTAGCCTCAGAATACTTATCTAACAGAATCTGTGAAAACTAACTTCATTCCAAACAGCATAATGCTAGAAAAAAAAACTGCCACTGCTATCAGCTTTTTTTCTTCGTAAATGAAATGTGTTACCTCCTTTGTCTTGCTCATGTAGGATGAACACTGCAAACATTTGATATGAGCACGTCTTCAGACAAGACATGAGATTACTCAGACTAGTTCAGATGTTCTCTGCTATGAGGGAAATGTGTGATAGCCACCAGCCTTTCATTTGCATTCTGCTACCTAAGGCACATTCTGCACTTAAAGTAGAGGCAGGAATAACATTGCATCAGGACTCAGTCCCCTTGAAGACTTCATGCAGAGTGCGCAAAATAAAAACAGTATCTTACTGTGCAGAATGTTTCACTTTTCATATAGAGCTGTATAAAGCATCTAATTTGATTTTTTTTATCAAGGATAATGCTGAAAGCGCAAAGTGTCCAAATAAGGTCAACAAGCTGCTAAATAAGAATATTTACATTTTGTTCTGTAATTAAGCAATTAAAGCTTAGTCTACCAAAATATTTGAATCACACTAAGGGCTTGTGTACAAGGGCTTGTCTATGTGAAGGCAAAAGCAAGTCAAAACTCCTTTGTGAAACTGAAAGTCAAATCAGAGCAACTCAGAAGCACCTGAAAACAGACTGCATTTGACTTCTGAATCTGATGCCTGTGTACGAGTTCCAATGCATTTTCAGTTTATGCTGAGTAGCCCTGTGCAATGTACATCTGCTTTTGGATGGATTTAGACTTGTGTTGAAAGAAATTGTCCAGTTTTGTGCACATCGGCCTGTAAATTAACAGTAGCACATTAACACATTTTGTCTGATACGTTGTACTGAATGTGTTTTGCATATTCTTACCTAACAATATATATAGTATATTTATCTATATATGTAGTATATCTACACTATATTGCCGTAAGTATTGGGACGCCTGCCTTTACACGCACATGAACTTTAATGGCATCCCAGTCTTAGTCCAGTGGGTTCAATATTGAGTTGGCCCACCCTTTGCAGCTATAACAGCTTCAACTCTTCTAGGAAGGCTGTCCACAAGTTTAGGAGTGTGTCTATGGAAATGTTTGACCATTCTTCCAGAAGCACATTTGTGAGGTCAGGTACTGATGTTGGATGAGCAGGCCTGGCTCACAGTCTCCGCACTAATTCATCCCAAAGATCTTCTATCGGGTTGAGGTCAGGACTCTGTACAGGCCAGTCAAGTTCCTCCACCCCAAACTCGCTCATCCATGTCTTTATGGGCCTTGCTTTGTGCACTGGGGCGCAGTCATGTTGGAACAGGAAGGGGCCATCACCAAACTGTTCCCACAAAGTTGGGAGCATGAAATTGTCCAAAATGTCTTGGTAGGCTAATGCCTTAAGAGTTCCCTTCACTGGAACTACGGGGCACTGTTGTTCTGCCAATCTGAAGGCCACATGATGTTTGGAGGTCTGTAGCAGTTGGCGACGTCTCTGCACTTTGCGCTTCAGCATGCGCTGACCCCACTCTGTCATTTTACGTGGCCTACCACTTCGTGACTGAGTTGCTGTTGTTCCCAGTTGCTTCCACTTTGTTATAATACCACTAACAGTTGACCGTGGAATAATTAGTAGCA